GTCGTCTGTTGGCGTGGTCGGGCCTGACTCCCTAGGACAGTCTATTTGAGGGGTCATTGGCCTAGATGGGTTGTAGATCACTGATGATGCGTTGGAGAGGTCTAAGCTGAGGACTGTAGGTGATGGCCAGTGGAGTTCTGTTGGTTTCTCTTCTGGGCCTGTCTTGTAGCAGGAGGCTTCTGGGTACACGTCTGGCTCTGTTGATTTGTTTCTTTATTTCCTTGTGTGGGTATCGTAGTTTTGAGAATGCTTGGTGAAGATCTTGTAGGTGTTGGTCTCTGTCTGAGGGGTTGGAGCAGATGCAATTGTACCTCAGTGCTTGGCTGTAGACGATGGATCGTATGGTGTGACCGGGGTGGAAGCTGGAGGCATGAAGGTAGGCGTAGCGGTCGGTGGGTTTTCGGTATAGGGTGGTGTTAATGTGGCCATCGCTTATTTGTACGGTGGTGTCTAGGAAGTGGACCTCCCGTGTAGATTGGTTCAGGCTGAGGTTGATGGTGGGGTGGAAGCTTTTGAAAGCATGGTGGAAATAATAAATAATGACATTTATTTACGTACAGCATCCTCCATAAACTTAAGCGCTATGAAAAAGAGAGGAACTTCCTTAGGAGTTGCTAGTAGCCTGAGACGGGAGGATAGAGCACCTTTAACTTGCAAAGATTAAAAGTGCAAAACAACATACATTTTGTGCGTTGTTACTTGTTAACTGAACACAGTTCGCCCTCTGGTGGTTTAAAAGGAAAAGTACAGGAATTCCATTATTTATCATCAACAAATTCAGATGAAGAATAAATACGACTTATGTTTCTTATTTTCTGAGAGCTCGATGGGGCTCAGGATAGTGATGGAGGATCCAGCAGCTTAGCACCTGAGTCACTGGTTCAAATCTCACCCAGGGTAGCAGTGCAGGGAAGTTATTAGAGTCTGAAAAATGCTCAGTGGTTTAGTAATGATTCTCAGGCCAAATTCCTGCAGGACAGATGTCCACATGGCAGACACCTGTACCATGACTGTACTACACCCTTGCCACCACTCCAGCACAGACACCAAAGGTTATCTGGGCCATGGAGACAATTACCCCCTCGTCCTTAGAAGTGGTTAATCCACAGCAGATCTGAAGCTACATTCCTCTTGGTTTTAGCATGACAGGGTTGGTAGCAATCCCTACATTTAGGATGCCTAACACTTTCTGGTATAAATTATTCTTGTGGCTGGTTTTTTGAGCTGCTCCCATGCCTCCCTTCTTTGCAGTAGGTCTTTGATATATGGGGAGGGGAAGTCACGTCAGCGTTGGTAACCCTGGTAAAATATATGAGAAGGGAAAACCAATCAAGAATTTCCTTA